CAGGTTTTATACGTCCTGTATACTTCTCATTAAAAACTACAATGAAATACGGTTAAAATCGATCAATTTCTAACAGGTTATGGGCCCAGAACATTTAGGTCCACTTTGGAGAAATCGAACAAGTATTTAATGTATTGTTTTTTTTTGTGAGAATTCGTAAGCATGGCTGATGGACATTGTCGCTGAATTCGTTGAAAATTGTGAAGTTAAATGGCTCAAACTATCGAGCATGGTCGTTCAATATGCATTTATACTTGGAAAGCCTAGATCTGTTTGACGATGCAGAAGGTACGGCTGAAAGTCCTGGAAGTAGTGCTACCGAGAACGTATGTCGAAGCTTCAATTCTAGTGCGAAGAAAGCATGGACTCGCATCTGTTTAGCCATTGAACCGGAGTATCAAATACACATGCGAGATACAAGAATAGCGAAAGAAGCTTGGGATGCTTTAAAAGGTCAGTTTGCTTGTGAATCATTGTTGCAAAAAGTTAGGCTACGACAGCAATATTATTCTTGCCGTTTTCGCCCGGGAGATAATATGTTTGAGCATATAAGTCACTTAAGATCATTACATGACCAATTGAAAGAGATGGGAGTAAATATTGATGATAAAGAACTGCAATATTATTGGCTCTCCAAATAATCTAAGTAAGATTAATGTGGATCCGACAATTAAAATTGGCAGCGAATCTATTAATAGAGTTAAAACAACAAAAAGTCTTGGCGTGGTCATTGACGATGAGTTGAAATGGGAGGACCACATTGACAGCATCAGCAAAAAAGTTTCAAGTGGAATAGGAGCGATAAAATTGATCAAGCCTTATGTTCCAAAGGATTGCCTAAATCAGATTTATAATGCTCTTGTGCAGCCATATTTTGACTATTGCTCTCTAGTATGGCAAAATTGTAAACTAGAGTTGCAATTGAAACTTCAAAAGCTTCAAAATAGGGCAGCAAGAGTTATAACTGGAGATAATTGGGAGATTCGTTCAAAAGATGTTCTTAGCAAACTGAATTGGCAGCCACTAAACCAGATAAGATTGGTTAAGATGCTCTTGTTTATGCACAAAATTCTAAAAAATGAAGTTCCTACATCAATTTCAGACCAGTTTCACATTTCAGTAAACGATCAAAATAATCTACGCAGTAATTTTACTATGCTGAAACTGACTAAACCAAGAACAAATGCACTGAAGCGAAATTTTAGCTACCATGGTGCAAAAACTTGGAATAATTTGCCAACTGAATTGAAAAATCTCACGATCTCTGAGAGAGTTTTCAAAACTAAATTACAAGATTTCATTTAAAACATCTTTTTCAATAAACTGTTACTCCAGTGTACGTTTTTGTCAGGTTTTTTATGGAATATTATAAATGTAATAATGTCCTGTTTATGTATGATATTTACTATAATTTAGTAAATTGTTGTTCTACTGCTTAGCTTAAATTTCTACAAGTCCTTATGAAAAGCAACCATTTTAATTCTATCTATCTATATAGATTCGCCAGTTGCCATCCTTCGATTAGTATATTTTTAACTATTTAATATACAGCTCAGTTGAGTATGATAAACAGGGACTTGCCTCATATAAATCATTCGAAGATTATAGAGGCTGCAAGCATATCGCAGCCTGTTTGTATTCGCTGGGGGATGTACTGCATAATCACAAGAGTGTAACATCTGGTCCATGCCAGGTCATTAGTAGAAAAGCAAATATATTCAGGACAATCCGCTGTGGGTCCATTTTCGCCAATAAAATGAAAACCACATATATAAAACCGACAGACAAACTTGTCAACCTTGTACCCAGGGCCTTTACGCAGTTCAGAGGCTCTGGTATGGGAAGCAAAGGCCCTGGTAAGGGAAGCAAAGGCCCTGGTAAACACTGCTCACTTGACTCCAAAAATATTGGACATTTTTGTAACCTGGCCTTATTAAGGTCGTATCATTCCGGGGGGGATGAACAACTGAACAATTGGCGAACTATAAAATTTTAAAAATACATGATTTTTCCTATAACAAGTGTTTTAAAATCATATTTTAAAACAACGGGCAGCAGATCTGAAGCTTCTTTTTATTTTGATGGAAATTATAAACTTTGAAGTCACATGGATTTTGAATGCTATATTAGAATTCTGTATATTCGAGGTAAGCGATCATATATAAAATTTATATATTCTCATATATTTATCAGTTTATATATCCTGAAATATATTGCAGCAGATTCGTGGCTGTCTGTTTGTATAATTAGTTTTCTTTGTCTAATTATTCCTCCATCTTTCGCTTTTGGATATAAACCCTCCTTCATGCCTGATATATTTTTTTGTTATCTCCATCCTTCACTAAAATCAAAATCGTCTGTTCCAGCTTGCTCAGAAAATATTCAATCTTTCATAACTGGAGTTATCTTTGACATGTAAAATCGTCAGGCAGTACCTTCAGTAAAATACTTACTTGGTGTAACTGACTGACCATTTATAAATGAATACATGCAAAAATTATTACAAATTAACTGCCCTCATACCAATCCATTAGTCTCCGACTCGTTCAATAAACACTTAACAGAATAGTACGACAATATAAAAGTGCGGAAATGCCAACCTGACCTGACTTTCTGTGACAAGAAAATTAGATTACATTAATTATACAGAACAGTCAGCTAGAATTCTTTTCCTCGATACAGTAGTCATTATATATATACAATAAAAAAACAAAGGGGGTGTGGGAACCAGAAAAAATTAACTGGAATTAGTATTACGCGAGAGTGTCCAAGAGGGCGTTGGCCATGGGCGTGGTGGGCTGTACGGACGGGGGGAGTTTTTGTGGTCATGTGACTTCAGGAATGTATTCGTTCTGGGGTGTGTGGGATTTTTTGTTTTTGGGGGGGTCGCGCCGCGCGTTCTTACGAGAACGTTTTGTGGGGGCTGGGGCGAGATGTTACTCCAAAGCCTCGGTCGACCGAAGTGATTCGATTTTGAAGTTCGCGCTCTTTTATGCTGTCGCGTGCCCGCTTTCGGGGCGTCGCGGGTGTTTGCGTGTATTTGCGAGTATAGTGATGATTGCACGTGTAGTTGCAAGTGTACTTTTTGTGAAATAATTCGTGAATTAAATGTGAAAATAGAGGAGCAAAGACAACGAGATAAGAAAATAAAAGTGTCACGGTTTTGCGAGTGTTCTGGACAGGGTTGGTGTTATTGGTGTTAAGACTTTATTGTTTTATGTGTACTGTGTGTAGATTGTTATTTTAAATAATTACACACAGTACACATCGGATATATAGAGTTACTGTGCGCGCGCAATGTGGGGAAACCGTAATAATTGTGCAAGATAAGTAAAACGTGGATATATACCAAGATGAAGCGATCATATAGTGTGGACGCGTGTGTGTTGAGCATATTTCGACATCTATTGTGGCGGAATGGCAACGCGTTGGGGAATAAAAGTCCCAAGTCAAAGTGAGTTCGATTCTCACCCTAAGATGGTTGGTATTCTCACTATACATGGTCCACTTCTTTTTCTTCTTTTGGATTTTGAACCACCAAACAATGTATTGGCATGAGATTGTTTTCCAAAAAAATTGGAGAACAGTCTCATGCAATATACTGTTCTGGCAGAATTTTTTACTCCGATGGCTGTTCAATTATTTTTTGTTGATTTGCTAAATACTTAAAAGAATTACTATTTTTTTATTTTTTACATAATTACTATAATTTGATGATTGCTTATTTCTAATTTTGCTATCGGCAATGTTTCGTCGAAGGTGATCCATGAAAAGTCATTTTTTACTTTTTCTTTTAATAGTGGGTAAACTTTTAGACATGCATCTAGACCAAATAAGCTTACTAGTCGTATAAGTTTGTAACAATTTGAATAAATGTATACGCCTAACATACGATAAAGTAAAGTATTTTTTTTGTCTCTGAGTTTAGCGGCTGTTATTTCAGCTATAGGTATTAGCGCTGCTGCTACATAATCTGAAAGATTTTCTTGACCACACGGAAAGGGTGCCCCCGTCTTTATTGTCAAAGTATTAAATTGTTCGTAGAAAGCATTCACCATGATTTCAGTTGCTTTAGTATTCCATAGCAAAGCATCGTAAATACTTTGAGGATGCATATTTAGAGTGGTTGAAAATTCAATCATTTGTATCCCTAGTTTTCCACCTATTGTTTCCATTATATTATCTTTTTGTTCTACTGAACGAATAATGGCATGTCTTTCGTGAATGTCCATAAGTTCCGATAATCTTCGACGATCAGAAATATTGTAAGCACCGAGAGTCTAGCTATTTTTTGACAATCTTCAATTTCTTCTTCTACAGCATGAATTTTTTTATTGGGTCCAATGTCGTCGAGATTAATTCTCGTTATAGGCATAGATTCTCCAAAACATTTAAGTATTGCTTGATAGCTTTCGTGATCCATTTTAAGCGCAATATTTTATTTACGCACATCGAGGATTTTTATAGGGTTTGGGTCTACGTCGCGGTCCGAATTTTTAACACCCACGTATTTGAACTTGAAAAATTGTTTAAAAAATACATATAAAATAGTAATAAATGTAGTTTTTTTGTGGTTTATTTAAGAGCCGCGTTTTGTGCATTCAAGGGTATAGTGATCATGGCGTCTTTGGCAAAGTGGGAAGAATGTGTTTTGCAGTACTTAGAGGGGAAAACTATTAGTTTTAAAAAAGACAATGATACGAATGACACGGAGGAGAAGATTGATATAGGTGACGTAGAGAGGTTATTGATTAAGAACGGTTTGATGCCCGATTTTGTGCAGGGTAATGATCATGTGTATTATATTTTGTTGCATCGTATTCAAATAGAGATGGTAAAAAATTTAAAAGTCCCACCACAACCCCCCACAATATTACCCAGTGGTGCCACGGCGTTTGTAAAGCATTGCACTTGTCTCGAGATGTTAACATCTAGTATTTGGAGTAAAATACATAAATCATTGGAGAAATTTGAAGAAGATACCGGGGTGAGCTTGACAAATTATCATGTATTGCAGAAGACTAAAAAAAAAAAGAATCGTTAAAACGAGCACGGGAGCAACAACAGCAGGAGATGGTGAAGAGATTAAAGGGTGAAGGGTTGTTTGGTAATAAACCCAAAAATCCAACAGACAACAAATTGCACAAAGTTTTATTTTAAAGGTAATTCATCTGAATCCCAATGTTTTAAATTATGATATTCTTTGATGGCCGCTTGTAACTCGTGTTTTGCTGATCTAAATATGTAATGTTTATTAATTAGTAAATATAGATAGAAGGATCCGGGTAGTTCGCAAAGTCGTATAAATTGTTCCTTTTCATTGTCCTCTTCAACTGCGTATAATTTTTTCATTAATTCTTCGCGATTGGTTAGTGGGTACATTTTAAGAATCTTGTCGGATCGTTGTTCGACGCGATATTTTTTTTGGACTTGTAAGATACGCTCCATTTCGTCTTCGTGATAGGTTTCACGGTACTCTTTTATTGCGTCTTCGAGATTATTATGTGGACTTGTAAATTTTCTATTTTCATTTATATGCAAGTATTCAAACATCGCCGGATCGCAGCACATAACACGACCTGTGTGCACGTATTCTTGACTTGTAGGATCTTGTCGAATTTTTTCTTTTTTTTCTTCGTAT